AGCCGTTCGGTGCCTGAGCCGCCTGCTCTGGGCGCCACTCATCCTTTTTTGAACAACGGCTCTTCCCTCTCCACAAGGCAAACTAAAAGAAGTCCGCTTCCCACGAACAAGTTCTACCCTGGTCCGTGTAATTGTGCCCCGAATAAACACAATCTTGTCCTAGCCACCACACAGTACAGTACTTTCCTGTCAATCACAGGAGACTTTTTCTTCCCTCCCCTACCTCCCAGGCCCATCCTAGGAGTCCACACCAGTTTCACTGTGGAGTTAGGAAACAGGAAAGTAGAATATGAACTATCTATACAATGGAATATTATTCGACTATAAAATTAATAAAGTGTACTTACTACAACCTCTGAAACACGCTAAGTGAAAGAAACCAAACACAAAAGGCCATGTGTTGTATGACCAATTTAATATAAAATGTCTAGAGCAAGCAAATCCACAGAGACAGGTGGTGGATGCCAGCGGTTGTATGAAGAATTAGATACTGACTACACTCCCAAGCCTGGGTTTTCTTTGGGGTGATGAAAACGTCTGGCCTAGTGGGAGCACAACACCCCAAATTCCAGAGTGGTTACATGTCATGAATGTACTAGTGCCTTTGAATTGTTTTAATAAGTTAAAATTGCAGAAATGATAAATTTTATGTTGTGTGTATGGCACCACAATAAACAAATAGGAATTTTTAAAAGTAAATGTGTCCTTGCTGATATATTCCAGTTCAAAATGCAAAATCTTCACCTACCTATGAAAAAACATCTGAGGAAGGAACTCAGTTTGAGACATTCCCCTCAATAAAATTGTCCAGTACTCTTCAACAGTGCCAGGGTCACAAAACACAAAGCCTCAGGTATTGTCATAAGTTTGGAATGGTCACTAAGGGGAAAAGTAGAACAGGAAAAGGCAGTAAACAGGCAGCCGATGAGACAGGCAGTTTATTCAGTGCATTCCTCTGTTCTGGGGTACCTAAGACGTTAGCATTAGTGGAAGCTGGAGGTAGACTACAAGGGAACACCCTAGTATTTTTACAACTTTTTTCCTAACTCTGAAATTAATTCAGAATACAGTTAAAGATAAAGATCAATGTTTTTATCTATGTGCTGTGTGTATCTGAGGTTTGGAAAATGAGTACACAGCAAAAGCTAGCAGTAACAGTGGTCAGCTAACCCTGACCTAGTGTTGAAGTGCCCGAGACCAACAGACACTTTCCATAGTCACTTGTTTGTTCTTGACCACAACCCTGTGAGGAAGATATTATTGTCCCTCATTTAGAGACATGAGATCAGGGACTAAAAAGTAACATGCCCAAATTCTTACAAAGGGCAATAATAAGTCCATATTTAAAACCAGACCTCACACTTTGGAAGCCATGACACTCTTGAACCTCACTGTGGCCCAGCTTGGGCCCTGCCTATCTCCTCCCTCAACCCACATTGTGAGAGACCCTTGGAGACAGATTCGATCTTTTCCGTATTCTTCCTTAATACATTGCTGCCCTCACTTTCTGGTCACCTTAAACCAGTGGTTCTAAAACTGTGGGTCAAATGACCCTTTCACTGGGGCCGCCTAAAACTATCAGAAAACAGAGATATTTACATTAAGATTCATAACAGTGGCAAAATTACAGTTATGAAGAAGTAGCAACAAAATAATTGTATAGATGAGGGTCACCACAGCATGAGGAACTGTACTAAAGGGTCGCAGCATTAGGAAGGTTGAGAACCAATGCCTTAAACAATGGAGAAGTTCTCCTGTCTGCACTTTTCCTTGCCTCCCACAAGCCATTTTAATCCACCCACCATTTGTGGCAACTTTCAGATTCCTGAATTCCCCCTGCCAGGTTGTTAGACGTGGGTAATGAGCATACTTGTGTCTTTCCTTCTCCCTTTTATCTCTCGGGAAGCAGCGAGACTGCATTCCCTGATGATGAAACTTCTGCTGAAACCTACAAGCTGCCAGAGATGTCCTGCCCTCCAGGATAGGGTGTGGATCTTTCTGTAAGCCCGCATGGACTGGAGATACGGTACCAGCACTGTGCACCAAGCCTGGAGTGCAGAGATGTGCCATCCCGATACTTAATTGTGTTATGAAGGCAGAATCAATTCTGCTTGGAGACAGACTAAATGTAACAGAGAATTCCACAGAAAACATTAATCCCATTATCATAATGCCAAAAACTGGAGGGATCACAGAAGGGTCTATCTTCTCCACCTCCACAAACTACAAAGGCTTTCACACCCAGGATGTTTGGGAGAGACGAGGTGGCTTTCTCCAAACAGCCAACCCACAGTGCTGCCAAGTCCACAAGACTCTCTCCATCTCAGATTCACTCGGAAAGCTCACTCTGCCACAGTGGAAATCATCATGTGTTTGCACAGACTCTACAAACAATTACCAAGAGCCTTGCCTGGCCCAGCCTCTAATCCTCACTTTCTCTCCTTTGCACGTTTTCCTGCTGAGGGAGAACTTTGCTGTCAAAGCATCAGAAGTCACACGGGGACTGGAAGATAGTTCAGTTAGCAAAACGCTTGCCATGGGAGCATGCAGACATGAAAGTACCTACATTAAGTGAGGGAAGTGACACCTATAGTTCACACACCTATAATCCACACGCCTATCATCCCAGTGCCGGGGAGGCAGAAGCAGAAGGATTCCCGGAGCTCACTAAACAGCTGGCCTTGCCAAACTGGTGAGTTCCAGATTTAGTGAGAGACCCTGTCTCAAAAATAAAAGTAGAGAGTGATAAAAGGAACGAACCTGACATCAACCTCTCCACATACATGTAGGTACACACAGACATATTTACAACATGCACACGCGCGCGCACACACACACAGATCTGAGAGAAGTAGCATGCTGTCTGAGTTCTGGCCATTATCATCCTGACAGATGCTAAAATTTGAGCAGTGCCCATGTTATTTCGGTGGTCAGGTCGGCAACAACCTTGGAGAAACACCCACCGGAAGATGATAGTGCTTCTGTTGCATCATGTTTAAGGCTACAAATGCAAGTTATGAGCGCAGCCGGTGAGAGAGAGTTCATAGGATTCTACCACCATTTCCATCACTGACTTCCGGGTCTAGGAGGCGGTCACCAGTTTTGACAGGGCAAGTTTTTCCAAAGCAAAGAAGGCTGATTAAAGACCACCCAAATCTGTTGCAGGTTCCCTCGTGGTTCCAGGAGTATTCAAATTAGCTGTGGGTATCGCCCACGTCTTTGGTGAATGAATACATAAAATAAGATGCATGTAAAATAGTTACTTTTGACTTTATTTTTATTTGTTTGTTGCTATTATTATTATCAGTTTTTTGATACAGGGTCCCTGGTAGCCCAGGCTAGCCTTGAATTTATCATGTAGCTGATGATTCTCAATTTTTTGCCTCTGCCTCCCAAGTGCTGGGATTACAAGCATATGTTGCCATAACCTGGATTCAGTTGTTTTGTTTTTTTTTTAAGAAAAAAAAGATTTATTTATTGTGTATACAGTGTTCTGTCTGCTTGTGCACCAGCAGGCCAGAAGAAGGCGCCAGAGCTTACTACAGATGGTTGTGAGCCACCACGTGGGAACTGGGAATTGAACTCAGGACCTCTGGAGAGCAACCAGTGCTCTTAACCACTGAACCATCTCTCCAGCCCCTCAGTTGTTTTTAATAAGCAGAATAACACCTTATATAATAAGTTCACCAGTTGGCAGCTCTTCTCTACCTACACTTGAGGCTTTGTTCTGAACCCAAAACTAAAATCTGGGATGGGTATGTTTGTGATCTCCTAGAGCAGGGAAGGCAAACCTCGGGTGACTGCATTTTGAAGTGAGGAGCTGGTTGGTGGCTTCAGCAAGGTAAGTTTAGATGAGGATGGGACAGGACAGTCTGAGTAAAACACAAAGCCCATCACTCAGATTGTCACCTGTCCCAGCTCCCACTGGGAGTTTGTTAAGCCCTTTTCGTCCCATCCCATGGCTGATGGTGGCAAAGTACAAACTGAGCACGAGAAACTGCAGGAACTACGTAACGTTATGAACAGTATCCTGCAAAACTCGCGTCCACAAAGAACTCATGATTGAATTAGGCTTGGAAATGGGAGTGGGTGTTGGGAGGCATGGTGTGGTGTGTGCGTGTGTGTGTGCACCAGGCATGGTGTGGTGTGTGCGTGTGTGTGTACCAGGCATGGTGTGGTGTGTGCGTGTGTGTGTACCAGGCATGGTGTGGTGTGTGCGTGTGTGTGTACCAGGCATGGTGTGGTGTGTGCGTGTGTGTGTACCAGGCATGGTGTGGCGTGTGCGTGTGCGTGTGTGTGTGTGTGCCAGGCTCTTGCTGTGCAGCCCAGGTTGTCCTCAAACCTCCAGTTCTCTCTATGCCTTCTGAGAGCTGCTATCACACACCAACAAGTCTCTCTCTTCTCTCCTGCCGCTCCTTTCCCCAGAGACTGGTCTCCTCCCTTCCATCTTCCCCTTTCTCATTCCCTTTTTCCAAATAAAAACCCTCTTTGTGGAAAAGAAAAGAAAAGTAGGAGAAGTCAGGCGGTGGTGGCCCAGGCCTATAAGCAGAGGCAGGCCTATGAGCTTGAGGCCAGCCAGAATGAGTTCCAGGAC